AAGCTGAAAGGTATGTGAGTTAAGCTACAGGAGGAAAATCCATGTGAGTACATAGTGGGTAAGACACAAATATGTTGCTAACAGCCTTGATGCCCTCATAAATCAATCACATAAGTACTGAACACTCACATGAACGTTCAGTTACAGCAACCTCCAAAAAAGCTGAAGTCTTTTCTTCAGTGGTTTGGAATAGAAAGCATCACTGGATGAAATAACTAATGAATAATAATAGAGACGATATCATTAAGCATTATAAACAAGTGGTTCAGACTATCTTTTTCTTAGAAAAAGAAAGAGATCTCATTAAAACAGCAACTTAAAACTTTCTTATGGAAATAGAGGCATGGAGATGGATGGAGGAAAAGGAGAGAATTATCAATAATGGGACAGAGGAGGGGAAGCGGTGGTGAGGGAGAAAGGATAGATCCATTGTAGGATCAGGTTATATGATACTTGGCCTTTCATTAGAACTATGGGACTCAGCATGTTGTCATTCACCTCTTAATACTCTTTACAGCAGCTACTCCACAGAGTAAAAGCTCTTTGCAGTTAGTCAGCTGCATAATTCTCTTAACTATTGTGTGATGTGACCAGATTGATTCATCATATTGGAAATCAGAAGTTACTTGAGGACAGCAGTTGCCAAAATACTATCACTCTAAATTAGCATCTTGGGAGAACTGTATAAAATATTTGCCACATATTTCTTTATTTCATAGTATCCCAGTAAGAAGAATGTTATTTTCCATTTTACTGCTGAGGAAAAGCTGAGGCTTGGAAATGTCATATCACTTTCTCAGAGACACATTACTAGTATATACTATGGTGAAGTCTTCAAATGTCATTTTAGGAAGCTTATTCTGACAGGGAAGATTACTTCCCATGGTGGGAAAACCAGCTAAGAGCATTCTGGGTAGAAGGAGGCAAGTCAAGTCTTGGATAGGGTTATTGCAAGAGGGTGCGGGAAGGGAGCACACAGAGGAAGGTCTCAAAGCAACGTTCAGTAATGCTTGGTGATTGATTAACAACAAAGGTTGAAAGAGGTAGAAAAGTCAAGGATGACTAAGAATTTGCACTTAGAAGGCTGAAAGAACAATGGCACCTCTAAGAAATGTGATCACTGGGAAGAGAACCTAGATTGGTAGGGAAAGTACATAATTCTGCATTAGATATGGGAGTTTGGAAAAGAGTAGACAACTTACATGAAGATGTCAGTAAGTCGAGTGCAGGTGTGATATCAGGCCTAGACATGTAGCTCCTTATAGGGGTAGGAGTTGAGAGGCTTATGAGAGGCAGAAAGAAGGTTCTGAGAAGGACAATGGTAGATGCAGATGCTGAGGAACAGAGCAAAACTTGGCCTTGTGCCTGTTAGACTCTGCTGTATTTTGGAAGCCTCTGCAGGGATTCCATCTTTTCTTTGGCAGAACACATATAAGGTCCTGTCCTAGGGGGCACTGAAATTTTAGGAGGATTTTCCCTTCCCTCCATTAGAAAAGCAAAATTAGAAAAGCAAAGTTTTTCTAATTAGAAATCCAAACCATCAGTAATCATTCTATGTGTGTGTATTCTGTTTTAATACACATGCATATGGCTGTGTTTCATCTCTCCACCCTTAACATGTCTCATTTATGCTAATTTTTGCAAACTGCATAATCACACTGATTATTTTAGAAAGAATTTAAGAGGAGACCAACGTATGGCCCTGTAAGCCAAAGGTATCACTATGGAGTTCAATGGCACTTGGACTGACAGCCACCAACACACTTTTCAACAGTTGTACCAGAACCAGGTCACCGTTCACCAGCCCTCAATCAGCAACGGGGACTTGCCCTCTGCCATCCTGAGAATGGAAAGGCATCTCCTCTCCCTCTTCTGGACTTACAGGAATTGGGACATTGTCACCAACCTGTCCCCTCCCGCCTGGGAAAGGAGGAGACAGAACTTTGGCATCTATTTTGAACAGTGGTCAAGCCTCAGACAATTCCAGAGGCTTGAACAAAAACTTAACTCTTAACTATGTGCTAGCAGATTTTCCATTGGCTTGGCTGGGAATTAGTTTCATGGGAGTAGGTAGAAACCCTGGTCCATGCATTTTTTTTCCTGCCGACTTTTGGTCCTGGCCTCCTTTCTGCACACAGGGGAAAGGATAGTTTGAATATCGACAAAGGAATGATCATGTGATAGGCGAGCCCTCTGCTCATCTTTTAAAAGAAATGCTGGTTCAATTGGTCTGTTCTCGCTGCACCGTGGCAGCACCTGCCCCTCCCCTGTGTGGATAAGGCTCGTCAGGCTCCTCGTCCCCTGTCAAGCCCAGTTGGTCCCTGTGCATGGTGACAGCACTGATGTCAGCCCTCGTGGTAGAGGAATTAGTTGAAGCCCAAAGGAAAAAAGAGGCCAAAAAAAGAAAAATCCAATCCAGCAAGACCAGAGCCATTTCTTTTTATTTTGTGGGCTCTCAGCAGCTGTTAAGCTTTGCCGGATTTTGATAGTAAGAAAGTTTCCAAAAATAGAACAGTGAAATGTCAGAGTTAATGGGATCACAGCAATGAGATATCTCTACTCCCAAACAATCTGACTTTATTAACCTGACGTGAAAATTGCTGTGTACCCTGCAAAGTGACACAAGAGTATATTCCTGTGCCTACCCCTCCCATCCTGAGTGCGCCCCCAACACACCCATTCTGAGAGAAAAGCAACCACTTTTGAAGTGGTAAATCCTTGCAAAAAGAGGTGTGTCTCTAGGGAAATGTGTTTTATTCAAGCCAGGGCAAACAAAATGTTTTCACCAAAAGGCCAGCTTTGATGGAAATAATAGACACTGGGGACACCAAGAGTGGGAAGGCGGGTTTAAAAACTACCTCCTGGGGACAATGTCTACTATCTGGGGAAGGAGACCCCGGAATCCCAATCTCTAGCAGTAAGCAATATGCCCATGTAACAAACATGCACTTGTACCCCCAGAATCTAACATCTCTCCATCTCTCGCTTGAGGGTATCTTTCATTTAGAATTGCAAAGAGTTCCCGAAGGAAAGACAAAATGTCAGAAACCCTGGGCGCAATCAGCTCAGTCATGGTTTACTGTGAGACTTTGAGTGACTTGCCGTTCTCTCATGAGCAACGGTGACAGCACCAAAGATGAGTGAACACTGGTGGCTGGGCGTGCCACAGGATTGATATGGGTTCCTTGCCTCCCTTCCTGTATGCTTCCTTAGCTTCCCTCCCTCCACTGTCCTCTACCTGCACTATGACCATTTTCCAGTGAAAAAATAGGAGGCGGGGGGGACATATTATGAGGACGTGCACAGTAGCACATAGTTAGTGTCCTGTCACTGGAGCTGACAGTACTTGCTCTAGTCATTCAGTAGAGGCACTTCCCACTAAAGTCTGAGGTTTGCAGGTATGATTTCTGGACTGGGTAGTGGCTGGCCCTGATCTTGGAAGAAGGGCAGGGTTTAGAACACACTCAGGGAGAGGTGAGACTATGCCAAGTACAAATATCTGGTTTTGTGGCCATAAGAATGTAGCCTTCGTGTTTAGAGGCCAATCGGTAAACCAGTTTGACCAAAGCAAAGAGGAAATCAATAGAAGTCACGTTGGAAAAGTTTGGTGAGAGGGTATGCAGGGTCTTCTGTGCTAGCCTAATAAATTTGTACTTGATCTCATGAGACCTAGAGAGTCATTGACAAGGAGGATGTCTGGGGGACACTGGTTTTAAAAGATTTGTCTATTGGTTCATGAAGGGTGGGAGGTAAAGGATGGGATGTCGGGAGAAGATTAAGATGAGTGTGTTGACAGTTATGTTGAAGAGTTACAAGCATGCAGGTTGAGAATGCCCCACCACCTGGAGGTCTTTTGCTTGCCTTTTAGACCCAGGTCAGTTGTCATCTCTACTGGGAAGCCTTTCAGAGTTACTTGCTCCTTACCATTTGGTACCACAGTCCTTAACATACAGTCACCCCATGGCTCATCATGTTATGTTGCGATATTCTGTTTCCACAGCCTTCACCAGATTGGGCTCTCATGAAAGATGCACACATTTTTTATTGTGCTTTGCAGCCTTAATACTAGCAATAGACCAGACCATAGAAGACGCTGAATAAATACCTACTGAAGTAGAACAAAGTCAGACAGAAAGCCAGTCAACTAACAGTGCTTTGACTATAAAATGAGTTGGGCTGGGTGCAGTGGCTCATACCTATAATCCAAGCTTTTTGGGAGGCCAAGTAAGGAAGATTGCTTGAGGCCAGGAGTTCAAGACTAGCTTGGGCAACATAGCAAGACCTCCCCCCAATCTCTATAAAAAAAAAATGGCCCAAATATTTGAGGTTACAGTGAGCTATGACTGTACCACTGCACTCCAGCCTAGATGACAGAGTGAAACCATATCTTTAAATGAATGAATGAATATTATTTTTTTAAATGAGCCTGTCAAGAATAATAAGCGCTTGGGACTGAAAAGGGCCTTGACTGTCATCTAACCCAGTTACTTAATAACTGCTGTAAATCCTGGACAAACAATGACCCTACTTTATTTCATCCTGGGGCAGCTTTGACTATAAGGAATGTACAGCTGGAGGGAATCTCAGAGACTACTTTATTCAAAAGATGAAGAAGTGAAGCAATTGACTTTAGGTCACTCAGTAATTATTGGCAGGTCTGGGAAATAAAAGAGAAATGGATATGAGTAACCACTGGCCTATTCAGTCCTTACCACAATCCTGTGGAGCTGAGGTATTGCCATTTTGAAATTTACAGTTGATGATGCCAAGGCTAAGAGGAGTTAAGTAGCTTGTTCAGAGTTGCAGTTAATAGATGGTAGAGCCAGGATACAAGGATGGGTTGATCTCCATTTTCTAATAGTCCTTGCCATCCCTGCATAAGATCCTAGGTTTTCTGAAACACTGTAAAACACTCTTCTCACTTCCAAAACAAACTTTGCCATGGGATCTGTTTTGAAATCCCTCTCCCCTTTTTCACCCCCATTTTTCTTGCTTTTTAGGAGAGAAGTATGAACTCCATGCAGGGACTGAGTCCACCCCAAGTGTCGTCGTGCACGTGTGTGACAGTGACATAGAGGAAGAAGAGGACCCAAAGACTTCCCCAAAGCCAAAAATCATCCAGACTCGGCGTCCTGGCCTGCCACCCTCCGTGTCCAACTGAGCTTCCTGCTCTGCCTCAACAATAATAGCCGTCTCCTTATTGTGCTTTTTCCCCCCACATTGTTTGTCGGAAAAAAAATTGCCTTTAAATCCCTGGGTGTTTGGTTGTTTGAGATTTCCTCCTTGTAATCAAGCCTCTTGGACAAAAGGGCTAGGAAAAGGTGATATGTCTCCTGATCATATCATGCCCATTAAGTATAATCCATTATTTAGAAGGTTCTAGGAAAAAAGTAGTATTTTCTTATTAAACAATCAGCACAGCCTGTATCTTCATTCTCTCATATTGATCTAAGACAGAGACATCAGTAACAAATAGCACCTGTGTTGTTTGTGAGCTCTTTCAGTCCCAGTCCTGACGTGTGTATGCTGTTTTTTCCTGGCCACTTAAATAGGACCATATGTAAACTTGACTTTGGCTGCATGAGATATTCCTTTCTAGTCTCACTCAGTCCTTGCATCCCGACATTCCCAGGACATGCATGATCACCAGCATTTATTTTCATGATTTGAGGATATACTATAACACAGATTGTCAGCATCTGGCCATGTCCTATCTAGATTAGAAAAATTATCAGCCTCATCCAGCCCAACAAGCCTGAGTATATTCACTATTTTGAGTCAATACTTCATAGCTCTGTTAAAATTCCTGGAGGCAAAACTGAGCTTGGCCCCAAAGATATTCCTCAATAGATTTTGAACACCACTTCCACGTAGAACTTTCCCAGCCTCACTGGGGAGGCTTGACCAGGGTGATAGAGACCGATTTCAGACGAACCTATTTATTACAAAAGTTTCATGGTGTCTGAATGATTGTTTGTTTTTTTTCTCTTTGTATATTTGTACAAATGTTTCAGCTGTGCTTTTAAAATCTGGATGTTTTTTATTTAGTGAGTGTTCAAACATTAGCTGCTTAAAAACATACTATGTGCATTGCTTATGAATGCGTTCATATACTAATACAGATAATCTGATAATATTACACTCTGTTATGGATAATGCTGAATTTTGAAAGGGCACAAGATGTCTCATGCCAGTGTACAAAGGATTAACCCACATCTTTGCTATCAAGACCACTTGTTTTTGTTTTTTTTTTAAATAAAGATGCAGGTGTCAGTCGTAGGCGATCAGGATGAAGCGAGATCTGCAGAAAGCAGAAGTGGCTGAGCATGTTAACATGGAAAGGATGGCAGACAAATGTATGCCAGTCCTCCTCATGCGAGGCCCATATGCTCAAAGAAGTCCTTTGTTTGCGTTACATGTGATTTTTCTATTTCTCTAGCCCAAAGTGCATTACAGAAGATACACCTAGAGAACCATTACCTTCGGCTGTGTGCCAAGCCTCACCTCCTGTACACTAATGAGTCATTTGAGACGCAAATACAAATTACGACGGAGTGGGGACGTACTTTCCATGACCCAAGCCTCAGAAAACACACGAGAACAGTGACACAGCCAACTGATGGAAGGATTGTTGTGGTTTTTGACTAAGGTGTACGTTAGTTTCATTAGAAACTTAAAACATAGACTGATCACGCAGAAATTAAAGTCCGTTCTACTGTGAATATAGCAATATAGTACTGGATACAGTACAGGTGAAACTGAGGAGAGCATTGCTTGAAAAATCCTGAGTTTCCATAAGAAAAATGAAGACTCCTTTTAAAAGTAAAATCTGAGGAGTGTATAATAAGCAAATGCTTTGACTTTGCTATGGAGGTTTTAAATTTTTCATTGCCCGTTGAAAGACTAGACTTAAGAGTGGAGAAATGATGCCCTCTAGTGGAAGAAATATTGCGCTCAGCTAGTCCGGTGAGCGGAGCATTACGGCAGTCAACGTTTTAGGGCTGAATCTCTTCTCAGCCTTCTGCAGGTCATTTGACTTTTTAAGCCACCCTGAATCTTCAGAATGCGGGTTCTGAAGAAATCCAGATGAGAAAAAATGTTCGGAAATGACTTTTAAATGTTTTGAAACAGACGCATCCGACTTTGCCAACAATTTAGTAAAAGTTGAAATGACCATTCTGTTTAGCCCTAAAAGAAAAACAGTGAAGTGTCTGACCTGCGTGGCTAGTCTTAGTAAAACCTGTTGCCACATGTCAATGTCAACCTGTCTCAGATCAAATAATTCTTTCACTAGGTTGGGTTTGGGGAGGAGAGAAAGAGGAGCTTTTCCCAGGAGAACAGGAAGAAACAGGAAGGCTCCTGGAAGCGTTTCAGCAGAACCTCCTAGCACTGTGAAAGTCAGAATTGCCTCTGCATTTCCATGACGCACATTATGCAAACCTCTTTAGCGCTATTTTAAGTTTGAAACGTTTGAAAATGAAGGGGAAGGGGAAGATATCCACCAACTGAATCATTTGTGCACGTGTATAGCTCAAAGAGCTTAGACTTCAAATATATCTGGTGAATGACTCTTTGTCCATGTGGTTTAATTTCTGTGTTGTCTACCCAAGTTGAATATTCTTGAAGGGTAATTGTGGAGGAGGGCCATTCAGCCTGGAGTCTAGGAAGTTACCAACCTATGGGGTTAAGCCATCCTATCCGTCTAGGTCCTTCCTAAACCAGTGGGGAAGCAAGTGGGCAGCCTCCTCTTGAAGGAATCGGGATTTGAGCAGGCCCTGGAGGGATGGCTTGACCTCTAAGAAGAGGAACTGGGAGGGTGCTGTTGTATTGCCTGGTTTCAGCCATCATGGTCTTAAAAGCCGTTTCAAGTGTATTGAGAACCTCTTTTAGCTTCTCCCCACTCTATTCTGTAGTTAAAAACACTACTAGAGACTTGAGTTGGCAAAAATGTATTATTCAGAAAACAAAAAGCACTATCATAGTCTAAAAGATTGATATACTGGACTCCATTAAACTTAAAAGCTTCTGTTCATCAGATGACACTTAGAAGAAGGAAAAGGAAAGCATCAGACTGGGAATAGCTACCTGGCATACATGTAGCTGTTAAGTAACTCATATCCAAAGTATATATAGTTTAAAACTACAAGTCAATAAGAAAAATACAATCTTTTTTTTTTTTTTTGAGTCGGAGTCTCACTCTGTCACCCAGACTGGAGTGCAGTGGCCGCTCCCGGCCACCGCAGCCTCGACCTGCTGGGCTCCGGCGATCCTTCCGCCTCAGCCTTCCGAGTAGACGGGATGACAGGCATGCGCTACCACGCCCAGCTGATTTTTGGATTTATTGTAGAGATGAGGTCTCGCCGCCCAGGCGGGTCTCGAACCCGCGGGCTCAGGCAATCCACTCACCTCAGCCTCCCGAAGGCGCGAGATTATAGGCTAAGCCACCGAGCCCGGCTACAATCTATTTTTTTTTAAACAAAGGCACGTCACACAGACAATTATTCACATATACACAGACATACACAAAATGCCCAGGTGACCCATTAGCATAAAAAAATGCTCACCTTCATTTCTTCTCAGATGAAAGCAAATTAAAATCTCAAAGAGATACACCACACACCTATCAGAATGGCAAAAATGAAATGTGGGAAAATAATGAGTTCTGGTAAGAACATGAAGAAAGAGAAACTCTCATAAATCCTTGATGGAAGTGGAACGCGGTACTGCCACCTTGGAACACTTTGATAGTGCCCGCTAAAGTAAAGCATGTGCCTCTCTGGGAGCAAACCAGCAGATATGAATATTTGCATCTATCAAAATACTTGCGCAATCATGTCCCTAGCAGAGCTGCTGACAATAACCAATAACCGAATACAACCCAAATGTCCTTCATCCGTAGAATAGATCAGTAAACTGAGGTATCCTCACACAGAGAAATATCGTAAAGCCATAAAACACACAAAGGACTTATACATATAGCAGCATGGATTGATGCCAAAATCATGCTTTAAAAAAAAACTAGACAGGAAAGAACACAAAATGTATTACCCATTTAGAAAGCTAAGAAACAGTCAAAATGGACCTATATTGATATAAATTATAGGTCCATTATAGGTGGCTATATTGATAATTGGCTGTAAGTGACTACCTTTGGGAGGGAACTGGCAGAGAAGGAATGTGTGGGAAACTTCTGGGGTGCTATAAACATTCTACATGATAATTTGGAGCTCCGTAGACATATACACATGTAAAATTCAGGATTTGTGCAGTATACTGTAGTAACACATACCTCAGTGGAAACAAAACCTGTTCTCCCTGAGAACAGAGAGGAGGGAGCCATTAGTAGTGAAGGAAGTTTAGAATGTTTTCATACCGGAAACGTAAGTTTTCCGTCTTAAGTCTGTGAGATATTTCTATATATGCAAAGCCTTCATTTAAAATATTAAACAAATTTTGTTTTTGTTTTTTAAATAGAGAACTCAGAACTTAAGCACTGGATGAGACACTATTCACCCAAGTAGCAAATAAACTGTGTGCTTGACACTGGGTTTTCACTGGTGAGCAAGACAGCTATTGTCCCCGCCATTTCGGGGAGTAGATCCTAGTGTGACAAAGAGACAAGAAACAAATAAACAAGCAAATAATACTCACACATTCCAATAGGTGAGTACCGTGAAGAAAACCAAGAGCACACCATGAGATCGGAGAATAAAGCGGGGGGACCATAGTCAGCAGAGACGGCATTTATGCTGAACTGGAAGAACTGGCCATAGAAGTGCTGAGAGAACATTCCGGGCAGCTGGGGTGAAGGCCATGCATCTAGAAAGGCCTTGTCATGTTGGAGGAACCTAAAGAATGCTGTTAATGTGACTGAAGCACAGGGAATGAGGGCTAGCACAGCCCCAGATAGAGCTGGAAAGTCTGCAGGGCCCAGGCTCTGCAATGCTTTGTAGGCCCAGCCAGGGGCCTTGGAGTTCACTAAGTACAAGAAAGGTTTTCAGAGAGGGAGTTATATGACCCGATGCATCTGGCGAATCCTGACACAAATAGAAGTTTCCTAACACAAACCACAGCCCCAAGTGCCCAGACCCCCTCCAGGGTGGAGGCTTGGCCCCTCTTGTGCTCTTGGGCCTGAAGTTGACTTTCGACAGCCTGGTGTTTCTCACTGCAATCTCATCCAACAAATGAATTCTCAGTATCCCACGTCAATATGCAGAGTCTTGTCGTGGTTCTGAAAAGCCTTTTATTTTTTTGTTCCCTCCTCTTCCCAAGTCATTTAGAGGGCTTTGGTGCAGAAAAGGGGGAACTGAGCAGGTGAAAAAGGATGATAAGTCAGTGATTCAGGAAAACATTCATTTAGCTGCTGGTACAGAGTGTCCCTGCCAGAAGGCGCCATGCAGAGCGTCACTGAACATTTGGCAGGCTTTCCCCTGAAATTTATGCAATCTGAGAAAGGGAAAATTTCAAGCAAAAAGTTTTCTGTCAAACTCATTCATCTGCACCCTTCAAAGACAGTCTGGGGAAATGTTATTGGAGTGGATTCAGGTGCTTTTTATGCCTCTAAAAGGAAGCCATATTCAAGGTTAATCCTGGGTGTGTGTGTGTGTGTGTGTGTGTGTGTGTGTGTGTGTGTGTTTACGCAAACATATTTGGTATAGGTTGGAAATAGGAACCCCCAAAATAGGCTGAAATGATTGAGACACTTTGTGCTAAAAAAATTTCATACACAATACCTCCTTGGCTCTTTTGCGTTTTTCCCCACTCCTCCAATAATTGAGTTTGAAACGTTTAGGGTTGGGCAGGACTATGAGGCCTCCTTGACTAGTTGCGATCATTAGAGAAATCATTATTAGGCCGGGCTCGGTGGCTCAGCCCGTAATCCCAGCACTTTGGGAGGCCGAGGAGAGTGGATTGCCTGAGCATGCGGGTTCCAGACCTGCCAGGGCAACTTGGTGAGACCTTATCTCTACGGTAAAATCAAAAATTAGCCAGGCGTGGTAGCGCACGCCCGTAGTTCCGGCTACTTGGAAGGCTGAGGCGGAAGGATCGCTGGAACCCAGCAGATCAATGCTGCGGTGGCCGGGAGCATGCCACTGCACTCCCATCTGGGCCACAGAGTGAGACTCCAGCTCAAAAAGAAAAAGAAAAAGAAAAATCATTATTGTTCTCCAGATAGTCTTTGGATTTACCTGTTGTGTATTTTATTCTTAAAATAAAGTTTACAGTTGTCCCTACAAAGTTGCCAAGTTCAGCACCTAGATAATCCGTCTGATGTGCTGGAGTGGATGCTGTGTGCCCCAGCATCCTTCTTCAGAGTGGAGGTACTCATGCCCCCAGATGCTGGAGAGTTGGTGGGTCATGGCTCACCCCTGAGTGGCCATTGCATTCAGCTGGAGAGAGACCCCACCCAAAGCCTCAACCCTGTCTAGGGACAGCCTGCATCCAGTGACTAGTCCATGTGAGAGCAGGAAATCACTCCCCCGGGGCCACTCCAGCTCCAGAGCTATCTCTGTGGGATTTCTCATGTCAGTTCGCCTCTTCCCTCTGCTTCCACCTTCTACCCCCATCCCCCACAGGTGTGGACCCTAAAGCCTCCCCGGTAAACTTCCTGTATGTGCCTCTCCCTCTCAGAGTCTGTGTCCTGAGAAACGAACCCAGCACATCCTCAATAGCCTTCCTCCTTCATTTTCCGTTCTCTGGAATTGTATAACTTTTCCCAAGGATCATTGCTTTTGCATTCCTAGCATGAACTGGTTATAGCAGAGGTTGGTTGCTTTTCCAAAAGCAGCACAGCTTTCTTTGTATCATCCTGCTGAGTTCAGGTGGGGGTAGGTAGGGTAGGTAACTCGGTGTAAAGTCCCTCTGTGGGGAAAGGAGGTCTTTTCCCAATCATTCCTGTGTCACGAAGATAACAGTGGATGCCTGTTCATTTGTTGTCAGGGGCCTTTATGGAAAGCACAGAGAGTTCTGTAGCCAAGAAGGTGGGACCCAAATCCTGGCCTATGTGCCACCGTCAGCCTACCTCAGAAGGAGTCCTTACCTCTCGGTCAACTATGTATCTGAGGAAGGGATAGGGATTGTGAATGTGACCTTGAAACTCCGTTTCCTGTCCTGTATAATGGGTATAAAAATCTACCTTGGCCGTAAGGACTTGATAGGATAATAACAGTGGCAATTATTATCGGAGGGCAGTTTAATGACTAAATCCAACAGGCTTTGTGGCTGCCTGACCTGGGTTTATACTCCAGGCCTGCTGCTTAGCAAACTTGTGGTCTTGGGCAAGTTTCTTAACTGAAGTCTTGGTTTGGACAATTACCAAACAGGAAGGATGGTAGTACCTATCTCACAGAGTTAGGAGGGATTAAATGAACTATTTTCAAGGTTAATTTTGCATGTGTGTGTGTGTGTGTGTGTGTGTGTGTTCATGCAAGCACCTTTGGTATAGGTTGGAAATAGGAACTCCAAAATAGGCTGAAATCGTTGAAAGATTCTGTGCAAAAAACACTGGTGCTGTACATACAGGAAGCCTCAACCAATGCTCCTTCTGCATCAGGACCCATACAGAACTCCCAC